ATGAATACTCTGGATACATCGGAGAATATTCATTATCTTAGAATAATGTTTCTTTTTTGTTTTTCCTACCAAAATGTAAACAACCCTGAATGTTGCACAGTAAAAAAAAGTTATATTAATTTGAACAAATACATATATATTAGTCTAATTACGTATTAAATAAATACGAATTATGATCAATTAGTTTCACAAATATATTTTAGGGTTAATGAACTCTGTAATTTTTCAAAAGTTCACTTATCACTATATCTATAACGGGGAATTTTTGGACCTGTTGACGTCGAGCAGATCTTTATTGTGTTGTAAAGAGCGTTTTCCCAATTGTAAAGATGGATTAGCTTCGTTGTCAGAGTATAGGAGAATATCTAGAACCAGAGAAATAAGACATTTTGGAGGCTCGGTACGCTAAATAAGTTATTTGAACGTTTAAAAAATCAAGGAGAAAACTTAAACATTATTAAAACTGTATTTTTATACGATTTTATGCCCTTTACTTGTGGTTTATTAGATCGAGATCAAAAAAGGTAATATTTAAAGGATTATGGATTGTCTGAGAGAAAAGAAGCCATCAAGACCAGAGAAATGGTCGCAAAAATTATTAACAAGGCTTCCAGAAGTACATATGTTTGTCAGCCTGTTGGATATGTGCTCTTTCATTGTACACAAAGTTGTAAAGTAAGATTTAAAAATGACAAAAATGTTCCATAGTTTTTGAATATTAATCTCAAATTTAAATCAAATCCAGTAAACACCCTTTCTACATTCAATGCCTAACCAATGCTGTGGTTTGAGAAATATGTTTAAACTATTACTTTTTTAAAATAGTTATTTGGTGGTAGCTAAAAATGGAGAAACGTTGTACAACTGTTTTATATAAAGTTTCCGCACAACAATATCTATTCCCAAGAAATGAAAGGAATAGTCTTTGTCGCAAAAACTAATTTCTTTAATCCCGGCCTTTATCTTTCCAACCCTATGTCATTCTCCTTAGATACTTCAAACTATGATTTCTCCCTAAATCAAAATAAATGAAGTATTTCAGGTTTAAATCGTGAGGTTGCAAAGATGCAGGGATTATAAATTTGAGTTTGTGGCAAAGATTCAATTACTTTTCATCACAGCTGGCGGCAGTCTTTACTTTTTCAATCTAAAAGTTAAGAAAAAATCAGAAATTGTAGTGAAGAAAGGAGAATTAACCATATAACTTGTTGTTAAAGGAATTGAGTCTTTGCCACAAACTCTGAATTTATAATCCCTATATCTTTGGAACCCAATGTCGTAAATCTTTGATATTTCAAACTTATATTATTTGATCTAACAGAATTCATAGTTTGAAATATTTAAGGTCTACGACATTGGAATCTAATGATATAGGGTTTAGAAAAGCAGAGTTTGTGGCAAAGACTCAATTCCTTTTCACCTGACAATTTTAACCAAAAATTCAACCCACTTGTTTAAGACAACAAATGATAAAAATAAACTTTCAGAATGTAATAAATAGAAAATGACAGTTATAGTTTATCTAAATAGAATTCAATTTATTCCCGAGTTTTTTTCCAGAGTGGGCTTTCTAGAACTGAAGAAAATGATTTTGTAATAATCTTTAATTCTTAAATATGTTTTGATCAGATGTCACAACTTTTGTGTTAGTAATCTCTGGATAAAGCAGCTTGTCGCTTGAATTTAACAATTATATTATTATATACGAGTTTTTAGACAATTTTACCGTGATTTAGAAATCCCGGTTTCGACCCCCCAACCCCTTAAACGTCGATATTACAGCACGTATATTTGATTTTAGTTGGGCAACACATTTTGGATAGTTTATTTTATATTTGAAATGGAATTATATAGAAAAAGCATGTCTAATATCTAATATGCACAGTCAGGTCGTATTTAGATCTATCATAGATCTAAAAGTGAAATTTAGATGAACAAGTTCTAAATTATATTTCCAGGCTCGTTCTATTTTTGGTTTAACTTGAATTGCAAGTATATGGAGAAAATTGGCAAAGGCTTTGCAATGATTAATCATACTTAGAAGTAGGTCAAGCAATTTTCTGATATCTATACTTTAAACCATTATATCCTCACAAAGAGAAGAAATCTTTTTCTTGACGAAGTTTAGAAATATTGTGAACAACAGAATAGTAATTTTTACAAATACTCCTACTAATTAAAAGCTAAAGGAACCGAGTTTTTGCCAGAAACTCAAATAGTCTAATCCTAATAGCCTAACTTTCCTATCTGATGAGGTAAACCTTTGATATTTCAAACTATGATTATTTGATCTAACAGAATTTATAGTTTAAAATATCAAAGGTCTTCAGCATCGGGTTACAAAGATATAGGGATTAGAAAATAAGAGTTTGTGGCAAAAACTTAATTCCTTTGCCAGTGTGACCCAAAAATCAGGACTTACAGGTCTTAAACATTTTTGGAAGTGGTTGTACACGTTTTTTTTTCGTCTGATGTATTTTTATAATTTTCGTAAATCCCTTTGTTAATTTTAAACAGTATAAAAGTCTTGAAATAAGTAATGCATAGAAAAAGCTCGCCAAAGAAAAGCTCTGTGCAGCATTGAACAACAATAAATCAGGGCTTAGCCAAGAAAAAGGCCTGATAACACTTCTTGATTTGACCATCTTAAAGTGGAAGGTCACTTAAAGTTACAACAACAGTCCCTTTAACAGTTAAGGCATGATTTGTGTGTGTTGCGTGTCCATCGCTATGGTACGCGGCGAGGGAGTTTTATCAGTTCCGCTATACATGATATTCAGATCTTTATATTCATTAAAAATATGGATCCTTAGGATAAAAAACAAGTTTTTATCTGTTTAATTTTTATTTTATTTTCTTTTACATGACTAGCTTAGGAACCCAGCCTTGCATGTACACTTTCTCTTTACTATAAAGTCAACTAACGCACGTGGAATTTTCCAACCTAGCCTAGCTAAGAACGTTTCCGGTGTTCTACCGAGTTTCTCGATCAAAATCTAAGACAAATCGGTCAAGGGGTTCCCGATTTATGATCGGAGATACAATCGAACAAGCAGATTTTTTTATATATATATAGATGAAACCAAGAGAATGTGAGAGAATAGAAACTAGATTGTCAAGCTGGAACCATAACCGTGACCAGGGAGAGAAAAAAAGAAGAAGTTTATGAATTATTTTACAAGAATTTAAGAATATGGACTCGATGTAGATCATTATTACCATACCGTTCATATTTTTTCTAGATATGACCCAAATATACTGTAGACAAACTGTAATCCTGCCAGGCTACATTTTTTGCATAAAACGTGCTGGGTCATTTCCTTTCCCTATATTCCTGTTCCCTGGCTGGGTCTACTTTACTCTGGGTAGCCCAGACTGGAAAGTACAAATGCATATACAGTACATGTAGTGTCGGCTCGAATAATTGCAACGCATTAAACATTCTTTTTTTATATATGTTTATATATAGTTCCATTGAGTTAAAAACCTTTTCTTACTGATAGGAAAGATTGGCGCGCCTGGGTATAAAAGGGTTCAATTAACCCATTTTCTTGCCAGTCTGTATTTTACTCTGCTGCTTTAGAAATAAGAACATTTTTATTCATTGTATGAGAGAGTTTTAGACTCTCGACATTTTATTGAAAGGTTTCTCCATTAGAGTTTAAAGTAGTAGTGTTCAGGCTCAAATACGAAGTCCAGAGTTTCAGACTCTCGACATTTTATTGAAAGAGTTTTTCCATTAGAGTTTAGAGTAGTAGAGTTCAGGCTCAAATACGAAGTACAGAGTTTCAGACTCTCGACATTTTATTGAAAGAGTTTTTCCATTAGAGTTTAAAGTAGTAGAGTTCAGGCTCAAATACGAAGTACAGAAGAGAAATTGATAGATAGAAAAAAGATTATTTAAAGGTTATTTAAAAAATATAGTAGTTTAAAGTCTATAAATAAATAAGGTTTATTCATAATGCATCGTTTATAGTGGTGTGGGAGAAGGGGACTCCGAGTGGGGAATCCTTTATGCTGGAAATATTTAACATTGTTCAATCTTACAATAGAAGGACACTATGTTCAAACTTTGTTCAAACGCGCTTATTATCAAACAAAAATAAAAATTCACAAGAAGAACGCAGTTAAAATGCAGACTGAAGACGCAGTATTGCGAATTCTCTTAGTAGAACGTACTATTGATGAGGCACAAGAATATTACATAAATACAGAAATATATACTCTACAGATTTGTATGATAGGATAAAAGACAATAGACAGTTCTTTTAACTTATTTTCTTATTTTTTAATTAATTCAATTCAATATTAATTAATCAGCACTTTTCTTTTCATCTCTTTTCTGTATAGTTTAAAGTTTAATCATCATTCTTTTGAAAACTTTAACTTTCCTATTTTATCTAAACTCTTGGGTTCGTTCTGAGGAAAGGAGTGAGAGAGAGCCTAAAAACTAGAACCGACGGGGTTGGTTGGAGCCACATAATCAGATTTATATGCTAATTCTGATTAAAAATTCATTTTATTTTATCAATGTCGTCAACTAAAACTTTATATGATGAGGGTTTAAGAAGTTTTTTTAAGGGGATAATTTCATAAAAATTTACTTAAAACACATAATAACATGGTGATAATAATATTTTTCCAACTCCTTCTATAATCCTCCAATGTAATACTTCTTGTAAAGGATAAGCGAGATTGAAAAAAAAGTTGAAAAAAAAATCTTTTTCAAGCGCAGTGTTTTTTTTGCATTTATAACAAAAGAAAGGAATTAAGTCATGCCACAAACGCTGATTTTCTATTTCCATAATTTTGGTAGCACAATGTCGTAGACCTTCCATATTTCAAACTATTATTTCTGGAAGAGTAAATAATCTAAGTTTCAATAATAAATTTCAAAGATATAGAAATTAGAAAGTTTAAGTAAGTGTCAAAGACTCAATTATTTGATCAGTATCGATAAATATACGATTTTTGGTTTAATGGTTTAATGTGTATTCTAGGTACCAAGTTTAGTACAAGCCCGGGTAAAGCTGTGGATGGAGTATACCTGGAGTCAGCAGAAGAGTTTCAACGAGGACAAGGTCTTAGACTTCCTCCCTCTCAAGGAAATAATACAAAGATTATCAGACCCTGCTTTTCAGATAGTAAAAAAACGATAATGATCATAAAATTAACAGATATTGATAATAATAACAATAACACTAATGATTAGAATAATAATAATAATAAGAAGAAGAATAAAAGAATAAAAGAACTATTAATAATCAAAATAATAATAATAATCGTTGAATTACTAAAGATGAGAACAGATCTTGCTCTTCAGATTCACTACACAACCTTAGCCAAGGTTAAACTTTTCCAGGTATACATTTATACATCAAGTAAACTTTCATATGATTTTTTAAATGCCCTTTTTAATGAAGAAATGAGTTGTAGAATCATTTTACTTTTAAAACTCATGTTTAGGTGAGTGTTTGCATAAATGAAGGAGGACGAGGTTCTAGGCTAACTCAAATTTGGATTCCATTGCTGCTAACTTTACTTCTATCTAAGGAAGCAGATGGTTTAAACACTTCATTTTTGCGAACACTTACTTTAAAGCTTGGGAATTTTCCACATTATTAATAGCAAAATTACGGCATTAAAGGTCGAGTGTTCCTGTTACAACCTATAATCATCGAATTGAATTCTATGATTATAGGTTGTAATATCTGAATGAAGAATTTTAAATTTAAACGAATTGTATTATTTACGATCTGAGTAGAATAATGCAACTTTGTGAATTTGTCTGTTGGTATGAGTTGTGTTTAACTATCTTTTCCTGATAAGAGCAATAGATAGAAGTAAGATTAGTATAGTGGCGATCACCATCGAATTCGATTCGACGTTAGCCTATACCTCCTGTCATTTTCCCGAACACTTCCTTTCAGTAATAAAAACCACCTCGTACATTTTACATTTTACATCATGTTATCTACATATTTAGGACTGTGATAGCGGCCTACTGAAGGAGTTGGTTGTTAAGCTCAAACCAATCATATTCCTCCCAGGAGATTATATCTGTAGAAAGGACGATATAGGTTTAACCTTTCTCAATAATAAAATATATAAAGAGATTTATTCTTTTATCCTCAGATAATCATTGTTTTCCGAACTCAAAATATTACATATAAGTCAGCTCTGTAGCTCAAAAGAAACTTCGCTTTTTCTTTCCAAATATTATGTACTCATGTATTCATGCTTGTCAGGGAAACTAATTCAGTGTCGATAATTTGATAGGATTTTCTTTATAAAATCTTCAAAAATGAATAAATGTCAAGAAAGGTCGAATGCAGGACGTGAGATGTATATAGTTGAATCCGGATACGTCCAGGTACTGGGCGGGAAGGACGGAAAGAGCTGTCTTGTCACACTCGGAGAAGGTTCCGTATTCGGAGAGATAGCTCTGCTCGGAGTTACAGGAATGAACCGTCGGACCGCCGATGTTGTATCTCAAGGGTTTTCAAGTCTCTTTACTTTAAGAAAAGGAGATCTGGAGGAGACATTGAAGCACTATCCTGATGCTAAGCGTATACTTAACTCTAAAGCACGGAAAATGATGAAAGAGAATGACGCGCTGTGCGCAGAAGAGAAACTTCCTGAAGAAGGAGAGGTTCTGTTTGCAAGGAAGGAGATGAGGAAGGATCCTGCTCTTCTAAACATGGTTGTCAAGATGCTTCCGTCTAGTTCAATGACACAGTTGTATATTAAACACGGGAGTAGGATGGGAGGAACCAGGGAAACATTTTTAGTTTTATAAATATTATTCTCATCATCATTCCTTACCGTTTATATTCTAATTCATCTTAAAAATTACAAATTTATTTTCAAGTTCAAACTACATTTATTTAAACTGAATGATAGAAAGATAGATAGGTATAAAAATACATTTGACTAAATATTTAAACAATATAAATTAAATGTAGGAACAATGTTTATAGCCCAGACATGTTTAACCATTCCTGGTTGTTTAGAAAAGAAGGCCCTTTCTTACCAAAAAATACACAATAAATCAAGTCAAATAATAATGTCAAACTTAAAGGAAAGCAAAGAGAGGTAGAGAAGAAGAAAAATATTATAAAGATGTAGATAAAGGAATAGGTATTTAAGATTTGAGAGTAAAAAAGAAGGAAGGGGCGATATAAGGGAAGGGGGCGGGGGCACCCAGCACACAAAGTCATTAGGATATAGTAACAAGGGAAAGGATAGAATCAAGATTTAGCAAGAAAAGCAATTTCGATTGAAAGAATGGAAAATACTATAAATTCTTCAAGAAAAAATTTTTAATATTAGTTTAAAACTTGTTAAGGAAACTACTGATTTAATTTACAATTAATCAACCAATTCTCATTTATAACTTTTTGTTCTATTTGGTTCAGCTGATGCTATGAACATTCCATTGACAGATAATGTTTTCTTTTCATATATTTAAATATATAAATATCAGATTTGAATTTAATAATTTCTTTTATTTTTATAATTTAAGTTTCAGAAAAAGCAGATCTGCTTGTACAGCATAATCCTTTTCTGTTATAACTCATAGGGCTCTTTTCTGAAGAGTAGATAATTTACCTAATTTACTATTTACTGACGGACCCCAAGATAAATACCATACTCTAGTTGACTTTTAATAAGACTAGCATATTTATTTTCTTAGTCTGAAAGGAAGGATATGTTTGGAAACAGTTCTAAGTGCAAATATAATATTGACTAAACTAAAATGTGAGAAATTTCAAGTTTATGTCTGAACTTAAAAATATTGGTGCAACCTTAGAATTAGCAATAGATAGTATCTCCCTATATTAGATAGTATCTCACTATATTAGTATCTCACTATATTTTTCTACAAACACGAAAGAAAATGATTTTCTTAAAACTTTAGCATGAAATAATTCATGCAACCTCTTGATGTAATTCCTTGCAAACTTTTAAACAATTTTTTTTTCTGGAATTAAGATTTTAAATCTTTACTTCAACTAAATCTCCGTATCTGATAATCCCAGACTGAAGAAAAATATTTAATGTTTGAAGAGCACAAAAGAAAAACTCAAGAAACTTCAATTTCACAATCATCGAATGTAAAGTTTTAGTTTTTCCAGAAAATTTAGTTAAAAATGTTCAAATTCAACATTTGATGAAAATTAAAATGTTTTGATTAGTTTTCGGAAAGCAGATTCTAGTGCTGGAACACATGATGAAGATTACCAGCTCTCCTATACTGTTTCAAGGTATACAAATATCAAAATATAATTTTTAACCTCAATTTCATTAAAAAAATGTCTCAAGAAAAATTTGAATAATTTCTTTTTTAAACAAAAACAGTTAAAATATTTGTTTCTTTTAATTGTGAAAATTCGCAATATCAAAAATTCATCATTTACAACTATTACAATTCTTAAAATTCTTTGTGCAATTTCAAAAAAGACCAAAGACGTCAATCATTAAAAAATATTTTGGTTATAACTGTAATAAACCTATTTTCTCTAATTATATATATGTATTTGATATTTCAGAACCTCGAACAACCTGTCCTACCTGAGCGGTAGCCCTAGACCACCAACCTTAACTCCAGGTAGTAGTTTAGAGGACAGGAGGACGCTTACAGGAGAAAGAGAGAATGGGAGAACGCCAGCAGGGGGAGGAGAGGATGGAAGAAGACTTGGTTACCTTGTTAACCCAAGCTCTAGATCTTCCTTGGCTACCACTGTATTTGACAAGGTACTTTGAGAAGAAGTCAAGAATAATTGACCAATTACTTTTTTATTATGATTTGTTTTTTTCTTTTTTTAATCTTAAATTTTTTTTTGTTCTTTGATAAAAGTTCAATGTTTTTGGTCAATCATCTTCGTTTCTAATTATCAATTCTTGAAAAGTTAAGATGGTTCCCAGATTGGAATATATGAACATTTCAAAGGAAATCCAGAAAGATGAATCCAGAAAATGTTATTTTTTTTTAATTTCTTATATTTTTTCCTGAGTCTTAAACCGCTACCGATGTATTTTATTGATATCTAGACAATTCTGAAAGTTAGTTATTAAATTTTTAGCCAGTCTCGACATTGTCGCAACACCTTAGCCTTTAGTTTTACCTCAGAAACCCATATTAACTTTTTTGTAGCCCTAGACATGTGCATTAAAAATGCAACTTCCGTGTCTATAGCTTAAGTATAAAAGGGAATAATTGGCAAAATACTGCAGGTCAATTCTTCGTGAGAGCCACCACATTTTGGTTTGCACCGATATGCATGGTTACCCATATAGGATCAAACGCACTTTTGCGAAATCATTTAGTACAACGTGTAAAGAATAAAAATAAAATAAATAGATAAATAAAATAAGATTTATGACATAAGACCCAATTTAACTTTCAGAGCGTGTAATTAAAGTCTCATCATTTAGTCCGGAATATAACTTCAATTGTAGAAACTTTATCTGTCTTATAATTATAATTGATATGATTTATTTCACAGAGATTTGGGGGTATTCCTGAACTAAAGTTTTCAATGGATGACCATGATGATGAATTAGTAGGAATGACAGGTAAGGATTCAAACTCTTTGCTTTTTTCTTCACAAAGTTGATTTAAATGTTTAAACTAAGCTAAAACAATATAAGGTAGATATAAGTTTTGGGAAGATAAATTAGCTTTTATCTATTTATGCAACTGTCTTGTGTATCTATTTATGCAACTGTCTTGTGTTATCATGCGGGACAACATGTTTATTTGCCGGGATTTTTACTTTTTTGTTATTTTTCTGTTTAAATTCAACATCTTGAATTTAAACCGAAAACAAACAAAAATGTAAAAATCACAACAAAAAACACTAATTCCCAAATGATAACAAAAGACGGTTGGATATGTAAATTTATTTAATTCAAGTTTTATAGAAATGTGCGATTTTTTTAAATTAAAATCCGCGTAATAAAAAAGAAAACTTGCATTGTCGGTATAAAATGTTACTTTTTTGCCTCGGAACAAATAAAAAACTTGTTATACCCAATTTTTAACTTCCCTGTAAAGTAGTTGTAAAATATTAAAATTGATTTTAAATATTATAAAAAATAGATATCTAAATTACACTGGGTGACCCAAAATGGGGTGATTATGGTTTTTGAAGATTATTTATAAGCTTGAAATACCTTTGAATACTTTAGTTATTGATTAATTCAAAACTAAAAAGTCAGTTTGTTTAAATAAGGTTCAGAACATATGTTTGAAGGGCATTTCAAGTATAATATTATTTTTATGCCCGAGATTAATCTTTTTGTGAGTTAATCTTACACTTTTCCGAAGGACTCATTTTGTGAATTCCAGGAAGCTCTCTGGATCACTACGGTACCACTGATACTATACAGGGGGAGGAGGAGGAACTAGAACAGACTAAACGTTTAAGACAAAAGACAGAAGAAAGATTTCAAGAACAGATTGCTGAGAGAAGACGGAGATTAGAACTTGAACTCCGGAGAACAGGACGGAGAAGATCCAGGTCTAGATACAGGACGGATAACAAGAATTTACTTGGAGTTAATCCTCATTATTCACACAGGTTTTTTTTACAATAACTTCATCTTATTTATTGTATTTTATTTTTATAATGAAGATGACCGACACCAACCTAACTTTTGTTCTATCATGATTTTCAAAGCTATCCTTAATTATCCAACCCAAATACAAGTTTTTTTTAATAACCTGTCAAACCTATTATCTTACTATATTCTGTCCTACTATTTCCTAACTATCTTGTCCTATATTTGTTCATATATTGTCCTTTTATTAAGTTTCTCACTACATTAATGTCCTGTAATTTATTTTCTTAATACTAATTTGATCTATCTTTTCCTTAATTTTCCTTAGATTAATAAAATATATAAGTATTGTATTAGGAGATCTCAATCAGCTAAGAAAACCATGTTAAAAAGACAAGAACGGATTCCTTCAAGTTCCTCTCCGGAGAGTGCACAATCGGCCACAATCTGAGTTTGTTGTCTAGTAACTATAGTGTCTATATGTCCAATATCTATCGGTTTATGTCCAGTAACTAGTGTCTATATGTCCATATCTATCAGTTTATGTCCAGTGTCTATATACAAATTCTCATGTTTCACCTGTTCCAAGTCTAGAAAAAAAAGTTCGACAGATGAAAACAGTGCGCGTTTGCGCATGCTCAAATGAACAGAGTATAAAAATAAAAGAGTCAGAAGGCACTTTTGAGTAAAAATGGAAGATTTTTTCCGGATCTGATGGATTCACAACATTTTGGCATCCTGGATCCGGATCCGCAAAATTTTTCTGATCTCTGAATGAGTCATCGGGTTTATTGATAAAAATAAGTGACAAAAAATAACAATAATTTGAAAATTCTTCTTTTGGGTAAAAAAACAGTAAATTCTAAAGAAATTTTTATAAACAAAAACTGGAACTTTTAAAATATCACAATCTGTAAAATGTGGTCTTTAACTTTTGCTCTAAAACTGTAAATATTGGAAATACTGAATATAATCTATAGACAATAACAAATTCAAAGAAACTCATCATAACGTCTAATTCTTCAATCATGATGCCGTAGATCTTAGATACTTTAAACTGTTAAATCTGACAGATCAAATTAACGAAGTTTAAATAATTAAAGGTTACAGCATAATATTGAAAAATCAAAGGTTTCCACCGTAAGATTGAAAAATCAATTTGGGGCCTAAGAAACTACAGTGTCTTTACAAAGTATAACCCCCCCTCCCGTTAAACAAATGTTTTAACACATTGAATACGATAATTATAAATATTGTATATTCAGAATATTTTTATTATTAGTTCTATTTATTGAAAAAGCATGGTACAAAACAAGTAAATTGTATAATTATTTATTTCACAGAAAAGTTTTTTGGAACTAATCAAGCCACGGCTTTCAGCACTATATGTGGTGTTGTATAGATAAACAAATACATATATATTTTCAGCACAAATAAATATAATTTGAAACTTAACTTTTATTTCAACATTTTCCTTATCAAACATACTTAAAGGGACTGTAAACGTAATTTCAAGCTCCATGCAAAAATAGCAGCGACCGTTTTACAACGGTATCCTTGAAAACCCTATATCTGACAAACAATTGAGTTTCTAGCTTGAAAATTTTTAATTCTGATAATCTATATATGTTTTCTTGCAATAAAACGCAAGTAACTTTAGTAGTGAAACCACAACTGAAAGTAATCCGTTTCCCACATTATAAATATGAATATCTTATTCATACTTGATCAGTCAAAGCTTACAAGATTACCGTTGTGAATCAGGGCATTGCCATATTTGTATGTAGGGTCACTTGAAATTACACTTACATTCCCTTCAGTGTAAAAGTAAAAATTTTAACATTTTGATTTGAATGGTTTTCTTGAATTTGAATCCACAAGAACAATTGTGCGCAAGGGGAGGGGGGATAGCAAAAAGATGGAAAATTTTAAAATTTATTTTTGCAAGAGGTTTAAAATTGAAATAACAAGGATCGATAAGAACCCCAAAAGAGGTTTCCAAACTTTTTGCGCTTTTAGTTTAGAGTCTAGACTAATTCTGATCAAGAATTTCTAGAGAAGAGCATACGGATTATCAGCAATAAATATTATTTGATGTTTCTCAAGAATCTGAATAAACTTCTCGAGTTGTTTGAGCTGGTTTTCAACCCTTGTCTTTCTATGCTTCTTGTTGAGTGTATCCGTGAGTAAAGATAAACCTTGATAGGTTTGGTTTACAAGGGACCAGTTGCACCGGAGACCCTTGTAAAATAAGTATTATATAAACAACTAAACAACTTTATTTATAACTTGTCTCTACGTAAGTATACATATTTATATAATAAAGGTCTTCGCTCATTTATTATATTTACACATATATTTATAAGTCAGCTAAAGGCTAGCTGGCGAAACGGCTGGACCAAATAGGTTGAACTTTCTTTTTCTAGATGGAATTTTTTTCAACATTTTTAAAAGAAAATTTCACGTCGGGTACTTCAGCCATTTATATGATATATCTGCATACAGAGGCCACCAAAATATTGTGGGATGCAACGACGACATGAGTCCAAAAATATTTTGAACCGACCGAATAAAAACTTTACGCGACAGCTGTTTTGTATTCAATAAAAACAAACAAATTTATCTTTTTAACAGTTAATTATAAACATTAACTTAAAACCGAAGTTTTCTTAAACTTTAGATACATTTGAGGTCTTATTCCAATATATTTTAACTAAACTTTTGCTTTCCCGCTGAATTTTTTACCTGGAGAATTTGTTGGCGTTCCTCTTCTGACAGTTTCATAGATTCCTTCCGACGCTGATTTTCCGCCATCTCCGCCTCCCACCTTCTCGCCTCCGCCTCGGCATCTCCTTTAAACCTGTTTAGATACTCAGGTGTCCTACCGTAGTCCTAATCAATGCAAAACATCATTATGTTTGTCAAGCTGAAAATCTTATTTGCATGTTTTTTAAAAAAAAATCTTGCACCTTTTTATTTACATATTTTGGAACTAATCCCGCTTTCTCCGCTAACTGCACATTTCCTGACGGCTGATCAACTATCTTTATCTCCTAAAAGGGACAAATTTTATTTAATGTATTTTTTATTTTTCAAATTTTTTTTTACTATATTGGAGCATGAATGAATGATCATAAACCAGTTTAATAAAATCTATTGTTTTACAGGTTTCCGAGGCAATACAGTCATCGTCGAATATATGCAATACAATGAAGACGACTTTCGATTTCAATTTTATTCCTACAAAGCGTATAAACAGCATGGATACATCTAAACATAAAAACCAAGAGAACATGTCAATTAACAGCTTCTCCTGGTTTACTTGTAAACTTTTAATTTGAAAAAAAGATTGTTAGAATTGTAAATTTAAATAGAAAAAGCGTCTTCCTTGTATTGATTTTATAGTCGACCACTGAAGTACTTTTTGTTTTTCTCCGACCCAACCTTTCACCTTGATCTAAACAGAAACGAAAGAGTAAAGAACCTGCGGTTTAGTTGGAGAGGATCTCATCTGATTAAATGCATTCCAATGGATTATATTCTTGCATGACTTGAAAGGTTTAGGAACGTGATCCGTGTTTTTAGGAACTGGAGGTTTACAGGTCGTCTCCGTCGTTGAACCTCTCATTTCTCCTTCAAGATAAATATAAAAGAAATATGATAAAATCCTGTTTGACATATTCTAGAAATTTTACATGGTTCAACACTGCTTTGAACATGGGAAATGAAAGGTGACATTTCTATTATTACAGTTAGATATAGCAGAATTCATAGTTTAAAATATTCAAGGTCTTGTGGAAAAGACTCCATTTCTTTCTAATGTGGAGACGAACAAGACGACATTTGTTCTATCCTAGATATGAAGAAACTACGTCATTGTTTCTCGGATTAGAGTTTGAAAAACGTTATTGTGAACTTCAATGACACAAAAGAATTTTATAAAAACTACATTCTAAGTTTTGTTTACTTACTGTATGTTCTGGCGGATCTTGATCTTCCAGTTCCTGGAGCTCCTGGAGCTCTCCGTCTACCTGAACCCGCCCCACCACCAGTATACTTTCTCAGGTAGAGTTCAGGGTCAGGTAGCTCAGTACTAGACTCTCCCATACTTTATATAATCAAACCATAGGAGCGCAGAGTTTCAACCCTAGGCCTTAGCTAGAGTTAGAATCTAAACATGGATGACACTTTGTTTAAACAGACAGTGTAGAACTAATATTACATTTTAAGGGTCAAAAACATTTTTTCTTCATAACCAAGGTTTCGAGAAAATATTTTGTCATTAAAAGTGCTCAAATTGCAACCTACAAATCCAGGAAAATACAATTGAAAACTTAACAACAATTGCATATTATAGTCAAATGTTTGTAAAATGCATATGTCATTAGTAACTGAATTTAGTTCATTGGTTTTCTTTTCCCTGAGATGCGCTGCTCGTCCTGTTTCCCATTCTTCTTTAACCAGCTCCGCAAACTGGGATTTGTACCTGCAGAAAATCATTAGAAATTCAAGAGCCCCGTAATTATTTTTTTATTTAGGAAATGCGTTCTTGTCACCAACTAAAATTAGTTTAATCCCTATATCTTTGCAACCCGATGTCTGAGACCTTTATTAATTCAAACTATGAATTCTGTTAGATCAGAAAGTCAAAGTTTGAAATATAAAAAGGTTTACATCATCATGTTGCATATATAGGAATAAGAAAGTATGAGTTTGAGGCAAAACTCAGTAAAGTAAATATAAACCTTGAAAGTCAGGCTGGATAAATATTAGTTTAAGGGTTTATAAATGTATATTGTATATTATCAATATTATCTGTGTCCGAATTTAATCGCGTCTTAAGTCCGCCAAAAACCGGTTTCAATTGAGCGCCGGCTTAAATATTTAATGAATCGATTTAAAGTGTAACCAACCATAATTGAGCCGCAGCTCAAATTCTTTAAATTCGGCCTTTGCGTTTATAATTACAAGAATGATTATATTAGCTGGGGGTTTTAGTGTTTATAGGAAAAGGTTGAGATTATATAGGAGAAGGTTTATATTATCAGGGAGGTCTAGAAGAATGTTTATATTGGAAGGTCCAGGAGAAGGAATATGTTAGCCGGGAACTCTAGGAGAAGGTTTTTATTACCAAGTAAAGGTCTAAGAGAGGGTTCACCTGGGAGGTCTAGGAGGAGAAGGTTGTTCAGGTTTAGGAATAACATTTTCAATATTTTCTTCTCTGTAAGTCTGGGAACAAAACCGAACAGAGGCCATTTTAAAACTGAACTAGATAATCCCCCTGCACATGTTGTATTGTCAAGGAAACTGATTATCAACAAAACATATTCTTCATACAGATATTCCCCTTACTCCTATCCACTCACAACTCTTACACCTCCCCTCCCTTCCC